GACGAGTTTCCCTATCTTTCCGGGTCCTTACTGATCCGTTTAGTCGAACAGCGCATAGACGACTGTCTACTGGGATCCAGTCTAAAAGAGCTAGTTCTGCCCTAGGACTTAATGCTATACCTACTCCAGCGAGGCCACGGGAAGCAGCGTCAGGGCTTCCAGATACACGGAGCGTGTATCGAGATGAAACTTTATTTTGATTAGGTGCGGTCAAATGAATGACACTACTCGGATCTTGTATGCGCGTTTCGGAGACGCAGCACACATCGATGGTGTAAGATTCTAGAGTCCTAGCTAAGGAAGCCTGTTGTCCTATTTGGCACAATGTTCGGACATTAAAAGTTCCTATATGTAGTTTAGAGCGTGGTTTCAGGAGACCAGGAATAACGTTCTGTGTACTCGAATCGTTTGCCCTAGCGGTGCGACCCGATAAAAGGACGTGGGAAGGGTTAGTCGAGGAGATAACAGAGTTATTAGGTGTAGGAAGGATTTGAAAGCGACCAACTTGGTCTTGTGTGCAGTTAAGGGTATGAGGGCTAGTATCACTTCCCGGCTGCCCACACCGTGGAAGGGTATTTCTTGAGGGACCTGAAAAAGAAGTTGGATTAGTGTTGGTCTTAACGACCTGGGAGCGTGACCGCAGTGCCCAAGGGACATCTGCTTGAGGCCGGTCACGCACGGCCTTTTTGTGGGGGATTTTTGACGTGTTAGCTCCGTTCTTCAAAAGTCCTTACCGCCGGAGACGGAAATCCGTGGGATAAGGCGAGGTGTGCATTTTTAGGGTCGACCTTTTCTAACCCCACCCCTCCTTGTGGGAAGGCAGCATCGCTGTCATGCTGGTTGTCTGAAGGAAACACCTTACTGCTTTCACACCTCTGTACAGTCAGCAGTACGACTTCGCCTTCGGACCTTGGGATTGCTGCTTTTAGTCTCACCGCTCTTCAACCGACCTGTCTGGCATGGTAGTACCTTGAGGAACGATTGTTCCAGCCAGCATAGCTCGATTGGATCATCACGATAGGCAAGCCCGACCACCACGTCAAGGTAGCAGCAACGGTCGGGAATTTATTATTCGTGATAACATAAAGGAATATATATAATGAACATATGAATTTCATGGCACCGAATCACATGAACTGAAAATTTAGTAAGTCGGTTGTTTTAGCACCCCAACCAATCACAACCGTCCTGATAGTAAGTGTTGATATCACTTTTGTTTACAGAATGAACAGTTTAATGAAACAATAAAGGTGGTTAACATTATTTTTTGGGTTTAAAATAAATTACTGCAGTATATTGCTGTTATTATATATATATTTATTAAAACAGAAACCACTACTAAATTTTGTCAGTGTTCTGTTTTGAATAGCGCACTCAATAAAAAATTCGTTCACTTATTAATGTGGACAAAACTTAGCATGGAACAACAACCAGCAGTAGTAAGATGCTTCCTCCTTAATGGATAACTGACACGATAGGCGTCGATGAAACCTCACTAATCGTTTTGACTCCTATCTTCATTGTTTATTAATTATTTGCCATCTGATGCATAACTCAGTAATACTAGCTTGGTTGAATATGGTTTTCATAAATGAGTCTTAATTAACTAATAATAATAGTATATTCAGAGACCTGACCAGTATTTGTTTTTTCATTACTATTCATTTGAGCGTTCAGGTTTCGGTTCCATGAGTAGTGTTAGCTCAATCTCCTTAGTCATTTGAGTAATTTTATCAATTAGCTGTTTTGTTATCAACTATTTAACTCCACAGATTCATACTTACCGTAGCCTAAAGGACATGGAATTTTGAGGTCTATTGTTCTGATCATTTTCTGATTTCTTAAGTACATTCGAAGTACGAATAAATACACTTATTTTACTGGTAAAATCTTGTTAAAAGTAAAGTGCTAGATTAATAAATATCTTTCAGTAAGTAATTACATGGAAAGGATCAAATACTGATAAGGTAGGTTACTATATATTGACTAACTTATTTTACATATTTAAGTAAATTACTGGTAGATAACGTTAATGAATGATCAAATGAACCAGCAGTGATAACAATCTCAAAATGTGCTTTGCACGTAATAAACAGACTTCATGGTCATTAAATAAAGTTGTACAACATTACCAAACACTTAGCTAATAAGTAAACTATGCAACAGCGCTTCGATTCCTAGTAGAATGTACAATTGATACGTAGCGCTAATAACACATAAACTCACATATTTGTAAACAGCTCTGGGGAAAACTGGACGCAAAAGTATAACACATTTTGCCAGTGAAATTGATGATAGTCAGCTCTTTAAACTCATAACCCACTAATTTGAATATTTAACATGTTGTAGATATCAATGCCCAGGTTGGACTTGGTATTTTCAAATAAATTGAGCATTGGGTAGAGTTAATAATAAATATATATTTCGTCATATCCGAATAAGAGATGAGTTGTATTTCTGATATTTTGTGACTTAATGTAAGTCACGAAACGTCAGAAATATAATTTCTCTGCTAATTGGGATATAAAAAAAATTTATTATTTGACCTGTTGATTCAGACCACTTTTGAAAAACACTATGTCATAGTGAGTTGACAGTCTTATCTGATTTGAAGATAAAATATCAAACAGATGATATCGCTGTCATTACTTTCCGTACATGAGAAAAACAACAATTTGATAGTGTTTATGAAAACGCCATTGTAATGCCGAGAATTGTGCGACTGATCTATATAAATCGATTCTTAGTATGAACATTATACTTCGACTCAAAATAAAAAGCATCCACGGCTTATAACAATCTTTAAATTATCTTACTATCTCAAAGGAGTCAGCTATTACACTACGATAATCAAGCATGTGTGAAAAAAAGTGGGCGCTATGGGATTTGAATCTTGATATAGGCGGTATTCAACTCACTAACTGAAATTCACAACTGATTGATCACTGAGTAGTAACCGATATCATGTACATCCAGTCCTTCTTAGTGCTGATCGGATTTCACCGATCAAGCTAAAATCCAGCCTTCAGTCTAAGTGGCTCCACATCACGTGAACTATGTTGAGTTACAAGTACTGGTTGGAGGTAGTCGGCAGGTAGCGCTGGACCCACAGATCAATCGCGTCCCGGATATTTCAGTAGTAACGTTTCTGATTGTAAAGCTGGGTGACACGGAACCGAATTCCTAGGGAGCATCAGTCTGGAATTCGACATTATTTTCAATTTCAGAAATGATTGGCGCAACTAGAGCTGGTAAACATTTTTTTAATAATTTCATTGTTGGTTTAAATTTGATGATTACAGGGGTTTTAGCGTGAAGCATTCGAAAGTTCTAAGTTTTCTATTACTATTGGAGAAAAACGCTGGAAACTACCATTGGTTCCAAGAATGGTAAAACAATAGCAATCAGACTGACGTCTCTGCACTTATCTTATTAAGATTACTATACTGAGAAAATATAATGGCCAACGCTTTGTACTAATTTAGTGGAACTAGACCCAACTTTCACACCCTAAAAAACCAAACACCATAGATTATAGATATCGGTAGTGAATAAACTCATTTCATGAGTACTTAAGTTTATTGATTGGAAACTGCTGTTACGAGACAATGAGGGATGATCAACACAAGTTGACACCTACTGAACTACTACTGAGAAATAGACAGCACGGAAAATTTAGTGTTGCCTTCTTCTTGGAATCTAAAACAAACTGTAGCTAGGATAAATGGCAAACAAGAGGCTAGTAGGACTATTTCACCACCATTAGCGATAATAAGAAAATACACTAATCATTCAGCTTAAAGGTATTGTTAAATTTAAGGTCTTAACATCCGATCAATTGTCATATATTAACTGAATGAAGCAACAGGATCACCGCTGAGGCTTTGCAAATCATACCATGTAGATATCACTCTCAGAATACCCTTTTCATAAGAACAGCATGATTTGAACCCGAAAGATTGGTGAGAATTTTAGAAAACTATTTTCGACTGAATCACTGAGACAAATTTCACTTACATATTATTTATGGGACTAGATGTTTCTACAATAAATCTCTAGTCTAGTATCAGGAAAATAAGATTGTTGATAAGGATTTTTGATGCCACATGGATTGCATGATTAGCTTGTATAGTGTGCTTATTTGTAGACTTACCAGTTCTCAAAAAAGAATGTATAAAAAGTATACTTGATTGTCTTGTTAACTGTAGTTTGTAAAAAGACTATCAAACACTCAACTAATGATGCAATATTTTAGCAGTTTAAAGGAATCTATTAGTACTAGATGTTTAAAGTTTTAATAGTTTGGTCTTAGGAAATATGTTGAGGCTTTTGCATGAGAGAGCTACGAAGAAATAATTTGAAAGTTCGAGTATTATACATTACGATGAACTGTACTAAATTCATTAATGAATACACTTCAAACTGTACTTCTTGTTTAAGAAACATTTACATAATGTAAAGCCTCTCACAATAATCTACGTCTTAAATGAAATGGACATATATGTGAAAATATGATTACTCGAGTGAGCGTAATCAAAAAACGTAAATATCTAGTTACTAAACCGAAATATGCAATCGAACAAACGAGATTTACCAACTTTCGCCAATAATGAAAACCACAATAAAAACTAGTTTTCATGAAAATAGAAATTTTTAAGCGTTGGTTAATCACTGATTATAAAAATGTACCATTTGTCATAATATAAACATAAATACTAAGTGTGGTTTACCATCGAGATAGCAAAAGATCTTGAGCTGAACAACACTTTACAAGACATCAGTTTAATACTCAGCGAAAAATGAATTGTAAAAAAGGCAGTAAATTTGAAATTTAAAAGATACACAGAGTAAAGTTCATCAAAAGTGGAAAATAAAAGCCCTAGAGGTAGATAGGAAAGTTTAACGAAGGCAAAATTAAGACATGGTAAGACATTTGACGTTGATGAAAGGGATACTTTCAGTATTTATTAACATTGAAATGTAACAAGAAGATGTGATCACTATCCATGTGACTCATTCGTAGTAGAACACTTTTTAACATCTAAGTCCATCATGGAATCCGTAATCTCATTTGTACTTAATGCATTAGAGACATTAGGGTCGTTTGGAGAGCGTGTACATTCAACAACACCTGGTGGTACTGAAGAATGAGAAACAGAAGATACAGGAGATGAGGGCAGGACATGAGGAGAAGGTGGAATTGAAGATGGGCTACTGGAGTTTGTAGTTACAGAAAAAAGTTGGCACGATGGGCTAGAAGGACTTGATACTACAGGTAAACTTGGTGGCCAACGGAAATAGGGAAATTCAGAATATGGATTTGTTCCATTGCTACACATCCGAACATCATTTTGACATGAAGATTTGTTATTTCTATGACAACACGAAGATTCTGGTGATCCCTCACGACTAGCATCATCACTGGAACCTGCACCCCCAGACACACAAGACAAATATCCTCGTTTGCGTCCAAGCGCAGCTGAAACAAGCAAAGGACTTGCACCACCGGTATTGCTAAAACGACGGGGATTGGGAGAAACGGTTGAGGTTGGTAAAGAAGGTGAATAACACTGAACGCGTGAAGAGACAGGTGATGCAACGGGTGACGGATAGCAAGAAGATGATCGAGAAAAATGAGGAGGACTTGAAGGCATACCCTTACCAGAACCAGTGGCAACAGAAGAACCACAGTTGTTAACCCCGGGACAGATAGGGTAAGAACAAGTGACGGAAATCACCAGAGGTCCACTGAAAGAACTTGGACGATGATTAGGGCTGCTGTTCACAGATGTAGAAGACGATGAACAGTCTCTATCGCTAGATTCACTACATGAGACACTCAGACCAGCCCATGAAGATGACAATCGAGAAGTTTCTGTTAAAAGCTTTTCGTGTTTTACTTCGTTTTCCACATGATCTTCAGCAGTCACATAATAATGTGCAGAACAACGTCTGACCGCTTTGCGCTTTAGCATTCAATTGCAAGAATTATAAATGTATCACAGAAAATAGATTATTGTAAGTATAAAGAGTTTAAATGGGCATGTTTCTTTAGGGCATTCATTTATTGTAACTGAGAAAATGGATAAGAATGTTTATCCATAAAATTATTTACTTGCAAACAGCATAGAAAAGCGTTAATAAAATGGACTATCCATACAAATGAGAAACACATGTAACAGGACACATCAATAAATTTGCCTGATGCTAAGGAGCTATTGTTGGGTGGATCCCCTTTTTAATGTCCGAATGTTACTTTTAGAAACCACTAAAAAAATAGAAAACAGGATATAAGGTTAAATCCTAAAATAAATTTACACCACTTTAATAAATAGCCCCAACAATTAAAAGGATTAGTATACTTTCGACTCGAACATCTATTTAGTTAACAGACAGTTAGTCAGTCAGCTAAAACATAGAACCAGGCACATATATACATCGTTCCAAGGTGCCATACCTCATTAGTACAACAAGATAAAAACAACAAATTGATAGAAGTAGTTACTTCAATGGTAGTAATATATATATAAAAGAAAGATTGTGTATAAGGATATAATACAGGAAGAGTTAGTAGGTAGAAAGGAAAACACAAAGTAATTTTAATATCACAGTTTAAGGAAAGACAAGGAGTGTATACACTACGCCATTGTGATCGATTCTGAGTCATGTCACCCAGTCTCCAACCATTGGTTACGATAGTCACGCAGATCCCAGCCAAGTAGTCTGCATCTACCAACATGGCTAGGACAAGAAGTTAGTGACTTCAAGCACTGATGCCACGTTTCGGTTTGGCCGATCCTAACTTCCTTTCAACCGTCCCCAATACTAATCAGCATAGCGCGTCGTGGTAATCGGTGTTCAGGCATACGTAACACGTGGCCCAACCACCTCAGTCGATGAAGATTCATCACCTCATCCACTGGTTTACCATCATTCCCTAATGCCCTGTGTCTAACCTCACTATTAATTACCCGGTGATCCCAGAAGGTGCGAGCAATATTTCTAAGACATCTGTGGTCAAATACTAGTAACTTACGAGTATCTTCTACTCTTAATGGCCATGTTTCACAGCCGTAAAGTAGAACAGAACGAACTGCTGCGCAATATACTCGTCCCTTAATTGATAGACGGATATCTCGTCTTCACCATAGGTGACGTAAGTTGGCAAAAGCCAAACGAGCTTTTTGAATCCATACTAAAATTTCGTCAGACACCAACTCATTAGGGCTGATCAGACTTCCAAGATAAGTGAAGTTGTCGACGCGTTCGACGACAGAAGACTCTGCATTTCGTCAGCGTCTTCACCAAACAGGACTATGTCATCTGCATATTCCAAGTTAATAAGTGGACCTACTGGTAGGAGATCAATGCCCGAAAATTCAGTCGACGAGACCGTTATTTCTGACAGTACATGTATGATGAAGTCGAGCAAAAATAGGGATAGTGAACAGCCTTGTCGGGGTAGTGCAGAAGGTGGAACAGTTTCGGCCGAACTCGTGAAAACTTCACGGATTAGACTTCAGTACACTAGGGTTTCTTCCATTTTTTCTCAATTGTAGTTCGCAAAACAGCCTTAAGCTGATGTTAAAAATGAGTGGACAAGGTAGACATATTTTGGGTTGTGTCGGAAAACAAACATCAGAAAGCCTACAGACTGTCTAAACACCTGACAATTTGGTGCTAGTAACAGCCATGTTACAACCTGACACAGGAATAAAAGTTGCATAAACCCAGTGTAAATGCTCTCTAGCATAATCTGATGAGACAATACACCAGGAAAATACAAGCAGTTGTTTCGAAGTTAGTATCTGCGCCCTGTGATCTCAATTTAGTGATTTATACAAAGCCTGAGTTTTGAGTGCACATTTGATCTTTGGTACTATGATGATCGCGTTCCCATGATATGATACATCCTTATTATTGTCATTCGCGAATTAAAATAACGGTTTGAAACACTTCCAAATTTTTTACTGAGTAATAAAATTTGACTAATACATCCAAGAAACCGGACTTCGAAGGAAAATAAACGTTAAAACACCTGGCAAATTAAAGAAGCGTAAGCTTCCTATTAGGCGGCAGATATTACGCAATCTTAGTATTTATCTCAGCCTTCAGTAGCTAAGTCAGGAGGTCAATTGACCTATATAAATTTTTGGAATTTGTAGTTATGTGGCGATTGAAGATATCTCTGAATATATCAACAGAAGGCTATGATAATTCATGTTCTGATAATTTACTACTTGGTGCGAGAAACGGAAATCCAGACTCAAACGACTCGATCACGGTTTTTGAAATTTTGGAATGTCCTGTCAGATTGACAGTCCTAGATTACGGTAAAATATAAAACATAGCAGTGAAAAAATTATCGCTCAGCACACGGTTTGCTTTTCTTAGCAATATCCAACCACATCTATCAACGCTTTGCAAGCATTCCTAGTCTGACAATAAAATGATCCGTACTGTTTGGAACCTGTGAGGATAAACATACTCCATTGGTATTTCCCACACTGAACACGCTTTAGTTATACGCGGTGAACATTCATTCGGTCTGTGTTGTACTATGAATGGTACAGACAGGGACATAACAAAGCCAAGTGCCCCTTTGGGTACAGACCATGCTTCTTCAATTGGCGGACTAGTACTTACCGATCAGTTGGTTGTCGCAGAGCACTCATGTATTTCTGTTCCATCCGCTCTCCATATCTTCGGGAGAGGTCCAACCTCATTGTGTACTATGTCACTGGCTCATAATCTGAGTGACAAAACAATATGATCGCTATTAGCTAACGGGGGAAGAATATTGGGACAGACATTAACCTCAGTTGCATGAGTGATTACTAGGTCCAACAAAGAAAATCCTTGGTTTGAATCAAAATCTGTGGGTTCGGACATGCTATAATAAAACATGCGCCATCAGTGTCATTAGGAGCTTGCCATGGAAAAGGTTTCCAGATCATATGATGGTCATCTCTGTCCAATTCATATCAGGTGCATTGAAATCTCCCAATATCAGATATCTGTTATTTTTACCCCATACCTGAATGGGCTCTATAATAAGCTGCCAATCAAGCAGATTGAGCTACGACAGATGACAGCGAGTGAAAATGTACAACCTTCGTGAGTTAGCAGCTATTCACTTCTTAAGTTCCACTATCATGAGATTCATGCTCAAAGGAATGGATGTTTATGTTATCTATGTATATAAGTACCTCGTCCTTTTTCCTGCATCTATTCCTATGAATTTTTAGGTGGTTGTAATTTTGAAGTGAAGTAAAAGTTATGGACTAATCAAATTCCGGTCTCAAATGGTTCAAATGGTTGAGAACGGAACAGAAGAAGCTTTCGCTTAACGGGCTTCCGTGTCTAGTAGCAATACTTCCAGGCAAAAGCCTAGGTATATTAACGATAATAGAGGGAAAAAATGAATTTGGTAGATCATAATAATATGTTATCCTTAGTCCTTAAGAATAAGTCAAGTTTCCTCTTAAAGGACTCCTGGGAAGTCGCTTGGACTAGCTCAGTCGGCAGCGAATTCCAGCACTTGACAACTCTTAAGGAGTAGAAGTTGTGTCTACAGTCTGTTCTGCTATGTAGGGTCTCCAATTTCTGGGTGTTACCTCTTAGGTTAGTGTTGTGACTAAGCTTAAGAAGATGTTTAAGGGGATGACCAGAAGTGTTAAGGATACTGTAAGTCATAAGAAAGTCACCTCTAAGACGCCTGTACTCTAACGGGTAAAGGTTAAGTGATTGGAGGCGCTCTTCATAACGAACAGCGGCCTGCTTAAAAATCTGGGCTACCTGTTCCTGTCATCTATATATTTCAACAAGTTATCTAATATTGTTTGTTTTAATGCATCATTGTGGCTATTAAGCACACAACCTATTCCGGTGCGTTTCTGAAAACTGTACAACCTTTCGCTGTAAAAGTTGCAAAAGGCCTAATCAGAGATGTCGTGTTTGCTGGGAATATGCAGCAAAAAGAATATACATTATTCATATGTCGATTGACTGAACTGCTGTCATCCAACTGGCGATCAGTGAATGTTTATCATCAGGAGAAACGAAGAAATAAGAAACGTAAACATGTTGAAATACTTTATGCTGAGAATTCGATTTTGTACCAAATAATATAATATTGAATAAAGCTAATAACAATAATAATTCATAAGGTTTGAATTTCAGTCCCCGAACTGATTTCGTGGCTCGACGTTGTGTACGTTGCAGAGTGTCCTTATCCTTTTGGAGGGAGGGAGGAAATACTATGTTTCCGTACTCTAAATGCAGACGAATAAAACTGTTGAAGATTATTTGGAAGGTTCTACCATCAAACTGGCCAAAAATGCATTTCAATGTTACCAGTGCAAGGTTTGCTTGAAAGGCGTTTTTGTCACAGTTCGCATACGACTTCAGGTCGTAGGGTGCCAACACTCCTAAATCTTTTTCAACTTGAGATACTTCTAGAGAAGAGTTTCCCAAGTTGTAACTAAAGTCTGCAACATGTCTCAGATGGACTACCTTGCACTTTGAAGTGTTGAAGGTAAGTCCGTTGTCGTCTGCCGAACTTTGAAGTAGAGTCAGATCCTCCTGAAGAACTAGTATATCATTATGATTACGTATCTCTCTCCAAAGTTTCACATCATCAGCAAAAAGCAATAAGTCAGATGAAACTTGTTGAGGAAGATCGTTAATATAAATCAAGAAGAGAAGAGGTCCTAGTATTGAACCCTGGGGGACCCCAATAGGACATTCCATAGCCTGAGAGAGAGTGAAGTTAACCCTGACCTTAAAATGTCGGTTTTCTAGATATGAAGTGAGCATGTCAACCAAAGGGGTTTGATACCCAATATTCTAAGCTTATTGATAAGACATACGTGGTTGACCTTATCAAAGGCTTTTGAGAAACCCAGGTAGATGACGTCAACCTTCCCCTTGCGATCAAGGATGGTTGTCCATCTATCCACCGCAGTCAGCAGGT